ACCTTTTGAGGATATAACTTTTGGCTTTAGCAAAGTAAAGAGAGCTGAAACCATAAGTCAAAAGAACAGTCATCTTCTGGAATCACTAGAACTACAGAAGATGAAAAATAAAGGCAATACGTCTGAAGGACCTGTTATTTCATCTGTATTTTCCCTTAGCTCTGGGGCTGAAAACGTTCCAGAGGATGTCAGATGGGTTGACAAAACACACAGTAAGAAGTCAGCAACATTACTGTGTAGAAAGATTGCTCAGCTCATGTCTGAATCTAACATGAAATCCCTGCCTTTGAGATGTCAAGCTTCTCGTAAGAAGGTGCTTTTGCCTCAAGAAAGTTCAGCAAGTTGTGAGAGAGTTGTATGTGCTACTGAAGTGGAACAGCCTGTACCTTTGTCTCAAGAGCATGGTGGAGACAGTGTGATTAGTAGCAAAGAACACAGTGAAGATCGGCTATTTACATTTGCAAGAACATCTAAAAACAGGGTGACTAAAAATTCCCATGTTGCTACTCCCGTATTTATCCCCAAAGGGACAATGCTGAGAGTGCTGAATGCTACTAGCAGTCAAAACTCAGATGGAATAGAAAACAGCGGTGAAACATCAGCTCCTTCTGTGTATTGCAATGAAATGTTTCTGCCTCGCCCGGTCCCTGTTAGTGTTTCTGAGACACCTACTGATAATTTGCCGTGTTTGCCTAATCAGAGTGAACCAAATGCTGAGTCCCGAAGTATATCGCTCAGGCAAAGACCAAAGCGAGAGGCAAGTGTTAAAAATAGTAGCAAACAAACTGGTGTACCATTTCAGAAAAGCAGTGATGTGAGCAAGCCAAGCAAGCCCTATTCAAAAAGTCAATTAAGTCCCAAAAATAAGGCAAAACAAGCAGGCTTCAGAGAACTTCCTAAGAGGAAAACAAGAACTCAGTTGGAAACCACTTCAAGTTCTGACATGTCATACCTGTTGACAGCAAGACGTCTTCGGCTTGTCCCTCTGAAAATTAATCAGTTGATAAAATGCCCTCGTCGTAACCAGCCAGTTGTGGTACTGAACCATCCTGATGTTGATTCACCAGAGATAATTAATGTCATGAAGACTATCAACAAGTATAAAGGTCAAGTCCTGAAAGTAGTTCTGTCAGAAAGGACAAGTAGTTGTCTTGGCGTCAAACGTTACCGAAAACGTCTTACTCTTCAGAATGTTGAGATAGGAAACCAAACAAAAAAACAGAGTATGCTAAAAATGAAGCTGAAAAAGACCCATAAAAACAACTACCAGGTGGTGGAAACCTCACCACCTGAAACACTTCGGTGTCTGTTTAAGTGTTGGTTTTGTGGAAGAGTATATATGGACCAAGAAGAATGGATAAGTCACGGACAGAGGCACTTAATAGAGGCAACCAAGGGTTGGGATGTTCTTTCTCTTCAAGCAAAAAACCATTAAGTGAGAGACTAGCGGAGGTTTCCCCTCTTGTTTTTAATGAGTGCCACTAGCATACTCGGGATGGAGGACTGAAATAACTGCTTTATTTTGCCAAAAGATCTCTGCTGTTAGCAAAGTGGAAGAAGAGAGCAGAATTAGAGAGAGAGAGAGAGAGAGAAGCCGATAGCAAGGATTAAGCACTGCTTTGCACTCTCATGCTTGAAATTTGTATTGGAGTTCAATTTCATCTGTTCCATGGGAGAAATTTGAAAAAGATTTGCTATGCAAACATCTTTCTACTTACCCTAGGATACTGTGCTGTAACTGGTTTGTGCTAGGTCTCTGTGGATTAAAGTCTTAGATGGTGAGATCTTTGTAAATTTAATAGGATTTAGTTTGCTTTATTACAGCATGGTGTGTCAGAGATCAAGCACATGTATACTGAAAAGCACCTTTGGTCCTCTGTGGACAGCAAGTGTATACATAGGTTTTAGTGGCAAACTAAGCACTATCCATAAAAAGTAAAAGTTAAATGCAAGTGCTCTGTTTCAGTGGAGTAAAAACACTTCTGCTGACTTCAGAGGAGATACAAGGGTGTAAGTGAAAAATCTGTGGAATCAGTTACTCCCCACTAGGTCAGATAGCACTAATAAGTTTAATTTTGTTTAGTACTTAGTCTTTTCTTAGCCTGTATTGTGTAGATGTGAAAGAACAGAGCAGTCAGGTTTGTGTACCATCAAGCCAGATATACAATCAGGCTTGAGTTGATAGGAACAAGAAGCACTTCTCTATATGGCCTGTAGGCTGTTCTGAAATAGTAATAGCCCTCTACCACCATGTGTGTGATAGAATATTTACAGAACTCAGCATTTGGTTAGAACTCTAGTTAGTGAGCTTATTTACAGAGGAACTTGCTGAAGATGAAGACTTTTCAAAATGAAAAGCCACGTTGCACAGTTGTATTTTGACAGTGTTGAATCAGATTTACAGTGCAATCTTTCATCATTCTTAAGAATTTAGATGTTGTTAGAATATATTTTTTGGAAGCCTCAAATTCATACAAGCATGTGCCTAGTTACAGATTATGTCTAACATGTACCTACTGACTTCAGTGCAGTGTGAACATTACTTAGTTTCTTAAACAAATTTCTAAATCAGGGCCAAATTTCAAGTTTTAGTAAAGGAGAGGGATGAGTGACACTGAAGTCTACTGTTTCTGGACGTGTACTATAGATGTTTCTCTTCATCTTGTCAATTTTAAATAATTTTAGAATCATATAGAATGAAGTATATTGAAGCACATACTTACAATTAAAATAACTTCTTACAGTTTTAGGGATAAGAAAATCAATACTGACTCTAATGCTGGATGTGTGTTCTATGTTTGAACTGGGACTTCTCTTGAAAAACTGGTAGTCCCTGACTCTTTCCACTGTTGGTGCATTTTTGTAAACAGTTTAAGCTGGGAATATTTTTTTATATACTCCAGCAGATTTTACATTGTTTTGATAAAGTATTTATCATATCTACATTGAAATGTAAATATTTTAAAACTACATCTGACTGAGGTTTATTTTCAAAACCACTTATTGCTTTCCCATAATTTTGCAATACAGTGTTAAAATCCTTCAGACAGTTGGTGCTTTAAGTCAGATCTTTTTTGTCATGTACACATTGAAAATTTTTGTATCATTTGTATCAGACTAACCTATTCCACAGAACAAACTTCGTTTTGCCTGTTTTGTCAATAATAAGGAAATGACAGTTCTCATTTTGTATTCAAATGGAATTATATTTTTTTAGATGGGTACACTAGAGGGTTTTTTTTCACTTCATATACTTTGATGCCAAACCTAACAGTGCTCTTTGCATTTTCAATAGTGAGAATAGTTTCCGTTTTAAAATTCTGGCATATCATATACAATAAATACTGAAATGGTTAACATAAAACCCCCCACAAACATGGTTAGAATTCCTCCTTTGTTTTAACTGCTTCAGACCAGGTTACTGTTTGAATTAATTTTGTTTCTGTAGAAGCTACTAAATAAATAGTTTTGAATTTGCTTTGTAAGAGTTGTCACTGGCGGAATTAAAACATTGCTTATGACAGTTGTACTGGGGAGGGGTGGGGGAGGTGTTGCTGCTCAGCTTTAAAAATTCTAGGTGGATTAAGTATACTAGTAATGCTTGTCTTCATCTGTAAGCAAGTTTACTGTTTACTTTAGTAAAAATCTACAAAACTTGGTATGTCACTTCCATAACCTGCTATCTAAAATGTTGAGATGTGGGGATTTTATGGGTCTTAATTTAGAATTTTTTTTTGTTTTGTTTTTTAACATGGAAGTCTTTTGTAAGTTAAATTGTATTGTGGCTATGAAACTCTTAAAGCAGGTTACGTCATGCTTCTTTTTATGAGCTCTGCTAAACTCTACTTTTAGCAGCTTTTGTTTTGTAAATTTTATTCTTATTAGAAAATGTTATGTCAGAGTAATTTCCTTTGAGTTTAACAGGTTCATCAGTTTGAGAGAAATAATTACAGTGAATGTTCTCTTGCATTTTGATGCAGCATCGAGAAATAAAAATGTTTCAAAAAAATAACAACCTAAATTTTTTTAGAGCTGGTTTGTGCCACCTACTACGTCATAAATTGGGTTGGAATGTTGTGGTTTTGGGCTTGAGTGTTTTTATTCTCGTTCCTATTCTTAAGGATAAAGTAACTGAGGTTACTTTTTTATATATTCCAATTACCTAGCCAAACTTTCTGAGTGTGCTTAGAAAGGAAGACTATGGATGCTATGCAGAAAAAAACCTGAAGTTTGCCTTTCATATACATATGGAATTTAGTTAGGGCTTCCAAAACTCAGACTGTATGAATAAGTATTACGGTATTTTTTTTCTGGAAAAAAATCACATTCTCATGTTCTTTGGTACACACTGGAGCATGTTTTCTTGCTGAGTTTGAAGCACATCTACTGTTCCTATTGATGATTTTTATCTCTATATTTGCACATAGTATGAATCCGAAGTGACTGTTTGCATAATTGTTCTACTTATGTAAGTGTTTGAAGGCTCAGGGATGGAATACAAGTATCTGCTACGCAAGTTAAAGAGTAAGTGTTAGCTGTAATTATGTAAATTCTATTACTTAACCAACTTTATAATCTGCTCCAATACCTATGAGCAGCAACTAACACTCACTGACTTCAGTGTTGGCTGAGCACAGCTTGTTGTTGAGCAAACATACGCACACCACATGAAATTGTTAGACAGTGAGAGCTCTGGCACATAGCATTTCATGTGTATTTTTAAAAGCAAGAATATTTTTTTTATATGACTGTGATACGCTTTATTAGCTTTTGCTAATAAAGTGGAGTTTCCATGACATTTAGGTGAGCAAGGGTGAGTTTGGTTTCCATGTTATGGTAGAAGGTAGAGTACAAGATAAGCAAATTGGTCCCTCGTTGTCAGGATCCAGGAGTCGGTTTCAACACTTCTCTGTGAATTAATACGTTGACATACACTTTAGCTGTATCCTCAGAGTTAGATTGCAACAATCAAAAAATGGAGTAGATCTGTAGAGTGCTACATATTGTGGGGAGCTCCTCGCTCAAAAGGCTAATCTGATTTTTGAGACATTTAAATAACTGTTCCATTTACATCTGTACAAATGAATCTGTGATGTTAAGGCAGAAAACATCTGCGTGACTTGAATGGATGTGTGAGGTAGCATTGTTCTCTGTGAGTTCCTGACTGATCCTTTCCGTCAATGAGTTTTATGGGAACATGTTTGTAGAATTCAATGATCTCTTCCACAGAATTAAATTTCTGGGGGAGGAAAAAATAGTAATCAGTGACTGAAAATACAATTGCTGTATGGTTTAATCTATAACATTAAAAGACTATTAATTGACAGTATTAAAAATAGGTAGTATTTTGCATAGAATTATGATTAGATGGAAGTGATTATAAAAGGAAAAGTACCATATTTTGATCCTCTTATTTCCTTTGTGTGTCTCTGTCTTGTGTAGGAGAAAGTAGCTGGCTGCTTAGGGCAAAAAGGGAGCATATCTAAGCCCTGATAATGCAGTATCACCTATAAAAGTTTGCGATGCCAGATCTGATGACAGATGTTGAAATGACGAAATAACTATAAATCATCACTAATTTTTGCTGGCAAAAGTTGCACTTAATTAGCAGTACATGATACTTTACGCTGCAAGTTTCATTATTAAATGTAACCTTTTTCCTCCCATTCAGTTTCTTGAGAAAGTTGCTATAAAAATGTGGAACAAGGAGCATCCCAGCAGAGTAGTAGTCTTGTTCTCTTGTGCTCAAAACAAAGACAACCTCCAAGCACATTCCTAAAGTGATAAAGGTGTGATTCAAGATTGCTGCCTTGATTAAACAGCAACAAAAAGCTATCCAAGGTGTCTATCCTCATCTGTCCTAGTGAAGGCATCTTAATCGTCCCAATCCACTGGTTAGCAGCCCTTCAGTTTAAATAGTTCTCTTCCCTATGTGTAACTTCTAAGCTCTCATCACACCATGAAGCTCTCACCATATTACTGTTTTTCCTCTTGGTCTGTTCTTTGGACTCATTGGTATTAAATCACTAGAACTGCACACAGTAATGCAAGCTTACTTCGACATTAATACTTATCATGTATTTATGTAACATTTACTGTGAGTGTGAACCTTCATTGTACATCTGGTGGTATCTTGTCATAGCTTCTCTCATCCCCACCTGTTTCACGCCTAGATTATAACAACAGAATCTGATTAAATATGTGATTTGGTGAAACTGTTTCTGTATTAAGATGAAAGCCATTGTGCTAATTTTTTTAGTTTTGTTTTGATAATTTTTACTTGTAAGCGTTTGTTCTACTTTGCTGTCTTGCCTTTGTTTATGTTCAAAGTCCCTGTTGCTACTGAAAATCCAGGCAAAAACTGTGGCTTTTTGTTTGTATTTCATACCATAACAAAGTAACCCTTACTTTTTTTATTCTAAACATTTTGTGAGCACCAATTCTTTTCCTACTTTCTAATGCTTTTTTGTTGGTTGGGAGGTTAAAAAGTCTTACTGTAATTGTTCACCTGCTTTGGAAATTTAACTAGGCTAATGTCACATTATTCATTGCTGTACCTTTAAGTTGTAGTTCTTTGGTAATGAGGAAAAATGTTTCAGATGTTACTTAGGTATTTTTTTCTATTTTATTTCATGCTCTACTCTTATTTGAATTAATGAATTCTAATATATTAAGCTCTGAGTCTCTTTATTTCTGCTAGAACATGAAGTTGACTTAGACACTATAGTGATGAGGTCTAGAATTTTATGTCCTCAGATCTTTTAATGGAACTCCCCCCTCACTTCGTTAGGTGTAAAGACTCCTAAAGACATAGAGATGAAGAAAATTCAGTACTTGATTTGTTTCGCTTCTCTGTGTGAAGAAACTCAAGCAATCTCTACTATCGTAGGAATGTCTATCTGCTGGTCTGCTGACTGTTCTGAAGAGATGGGAATAGGGTTTCAAGGTTTGCTCATGAAAGATATAGTTTTGAATTGTGTTGGGGTGGTGGCAGGACTCTCGGCTCTGTCACACATCCTGAATGAGACTGTTCATCATTGAGCTGTCATTTAAGCTGTGGACAAGATGTTTACCTTGTAAATATCTTTCTCATTTGGAAGTATTGGCTGTTTGCTGTGCTTGTTCTCCTGGCAGTAACTTTTGACATAACACTGTCAGTGGAAGGCATCATGGAAGTGCTCCCTAATCTACTCGGATGAGGCAGGCCAGTTTGATGGCTGGTGAAGGTAGGTGGAACTAATCCATTTGACTCACATGGAAATAAACTGACTGAAATGATGTAGCTGGTATGACTGATAGGTTGAAGATGAAAGTTAGCTGCAAATGGAGTGGTGAGAATGGAGAAAATATGTCTGGCCAGAACAGGGAGATCCAGAGATCTACACCAGGCCATGCACTAAGCTTCTTTGTAAAATAGGTACAGAGTTGAAGAGAAGCCTACTTCTGCCTTTGATTTTCAGTTACTGAATTGGGAGTTGAGCCTGGTGCTGCAGACATGCTAAACCCCTGTATTTTGTGTGTGGCAGATCTAGTTTTGCAAAGGAGATAAGAAAAATATTTAAATTTTGTGTCATTATCATCTTTATTTGCAAGCAAGGTTTGTATTTTTTCATCTTCAAAAAAGTTGTGCACATGAAAAGAGGCAGTATTATAGGATCTCTGGATCTTTACTAGTGAAACTGTCTGGCATAGAGAAAGGCAATATCCAAGTAAGTGGTGCTCAGGACAGCTGTTTGGAATGTAAATGCCTAAATTCTGTGTATGCCTCATTTGGGGATCTGGTCTTTATAGCTTTATGTGATTTGGCCTTTAGTAAGCTTAGTATAATATATTAAATATGTATTTAGGTGTGAACATCTGTGGCTAAATTGCTAGCAAAAGATGTACCTTCACCAAGAGAGTTAGTGGTGGATTGTTTCCCCCCCCATCCCTACTTGTATTCATTATATTAGAATTTGATACTAATTTAGCTGCATGGAACTTCAGTTACTTCAAACATAAAAATCTGATCATCAGCCCCTCTTCCCCCCCTCTTCAAGGCCTTATAGGGCTACATCAGAGCTAATGATAGAAGTACTCATGAGAGTTGAATTAAATAAGTTTTAAAAAATAATTGTTAATTGAAAATCTTATTCAATGATACAATGCGTTGACAACTTGTAAACTGTATGTGAAAAATCGAAAGTTGCGGTAGTATAGGGAAAACTTTGAACAATTATATTTACATATTAAAAAATACATCTTTTTAATGGATGAAAATAGACTAATTTGAAAGTGAAAACACACTGCAGAAAATCTATTAAGACTGAACCTCTGAACAAAATCACCAACTGGGGAGAAATGTAATAGGTCTGTACCTGTTTGTTGGTGTTCAGATTTCTTTCTCTTTGGCAGGTGAAGAGGGAATATTCAGCTAATCTAGATAGAGCAGCTGGTTTGGCTGCACTGTGCTGTGCAAAATCTGGTGTAACAAAGGGTATCCCTGCTGAGGGACAATGCAGAGTGCTCTAGAAAGCATTTTAACAGGCACTGGAAAATTACAGGCAGCAATTTGCTGTAATTCACAGCCCTACAAAGTGTTTTCACCCTCCTGAGAAAAGAACCTCAGACGAGCTGCAGAAGTTGAGATGAGAGTTTTCAAGAAAGAGCATTTTTAGGGAATCCTTTGAGACTGCCTGAGATGGAAGAAGCTCTTCTGAGCAATGTTGGTGCCACTGATTGTTCATTACTACCCATGTGCCTTGTACCCAGTTCTGCTTTCACATCTTGCTGCTGAGCATAATACACAGGAGTAGGAGATTGCCATGTCTGTGATTCTTTGATACAACACTTAATTAACTGACTAGCAACACAATTCTGGAATTTTTTTTGTTGTACTTGAAGTACAGGAGGATTTCTGAGTTAAAGAGAAACAATACTTAAAAGAGAAGGCTTAAGGTAAGGTGCCGTGATCATGGATTTGACCTGGTGGAGCCAAGTCTTGATTGTTAGCTAGGTGCTTGGAAACCTTATTCTGGAATTTTTACTTTCCAATTTGACTGTTTTCATTCCAGACCCACTCTTAAGATATGTTCTGTCTGTGCAGAAGTTGGAACAAACAACAAAGACATATATTTTGGTATTTCCTGAGATGGGAAGGATTGTGTTCTCCTTCCTTTTAGTTCAGTAAAAATTGTTCATGTACTGTACAAGTAATTTTCTAGTTGCCTTAATTGTTAAAGCTGTTAACATGATGAAAATTTAGCTTTATGTCTTTATTCTGTAGTCTACCATACACGTACTACCTTATGCTGCAGTGTGCCATGTTTCAGTTGTTTCTGATCTGAGCTAGGAAGACTAAACAATGTAAGAACCGTGGAAAACTAAACTTGCTTTCTCCTAAATCATACTTAAACTCCAGGAAATCTTCTGTGAGGTGAGGTTCAGAAATGTGGTCAGTCCTTTACAGAAGACTGATGGTTACTACAGCAGCACCAGGACGATGGTACCTGCAGTACAATTCTTGATTTGTGCTACAGTTCAGCTTCCCAAAGTGTTTAAATGTGCTTGAATAATGAAGGATTTTCTCTCGCCCCTCATCATTAAACCAATGTTCCTGAAGAACAACCTTCCAGTAAACCTTGTCCCTCTTGTGAAAGCTCATAAATCCTATCCCATGTTTTCTAATAAGAATTCTAATATAAATTTTGAACCCGTCAAATGGTTGAAGTTGGCTTCGGTCACTTGTGACTTCAGTTTTTTTAAGTCTCTCTATGCAAAAGGTAAGTTTAGAGAAGTATTGACGCGCATGGAGAGGGCATAATTGAAGATTTAGCTACAGAGGCTTTGCTACTTAACCTGAGTTGGATTTGTCAGTCATTTACATAGCTGATAACACATAGGAGGTTATTGCTTTGCTTTTTTGCTCTGCAGCTGAGCATTCCTGAAGTTTTAGGATTTTTTTTTTTTTTTACGTGTATCACATTTTTATAAAAATGACTTTCAGGTTTAATATATTATTTTTTCTTTTGTTAAAGACTTGCAGATACAGTGTTATTTAACAATTTAGGTAGAATGAGAATTAGACTCCTGTCATGACTATAATTGAATTGAATTATGTAAAAAAGCATTGCTAATCTAAAGGGATTTTCTAATTGAAATTTCGTGTATCTGAAAGACTGATTGCTGGGGACCCACATGATTTAATTGCTTCTGAATATCCATGACAACTATTGTCCCATTGCCTCATTAAAAAAAAAAAATCTCCTTTTGCTGTATGAGGCACAGACAACAAGAGACATTAAACAGCAAAAGCAGCACCAGGCCATGCTGTCAGATATGTGAAGTTGTATGTATTTGAAAATGTTTGCTTATATTAGTTTAAAAATGTGCTAAAATAATATGTGTACTTGAAAAGGTAGAACTTTTCTTTCCCTTTTACTTTGCAGGTGTTACTTACAGTAGATAGAAGTATTGTAAGTACTTAGGAAAGTTTTACATTGATGTAAATCTGAATTTGAGTATGATATGTAAAATTTGGTTTTAAATTATTATGTAAGCTGCTTGAAAATTTGAGACATTTGAAATGAGAGTATTGTAAAAGAAGCTAATGAAACAGCAAGTTTGTTATGTGGGAGAGTTTGTAACTAATATTTAGTATTAAGAACTTGTGAAGTGCAACATAAAAGCTATAGACTGTAACAGCAGATGGGATTTTACTTACACTATCTCCTCTGAGCCCTGTTCCCAGTGCATATTGTTGGCTCTCTTCCAGAAAACGTACTTTAATGTTGTATACTCTTCTTCCATAATAAACAACCAGAACATATGGTTCAGCCTTTGATTTCTTTGAACAATCTCTAACCAAGAATGTCTCATCCTATATGATACAGATTTAAATTACAGATTGTATGGTTAGTTCACAACAAAAATTGTAAGCCATTATGGACGATTTACAGAAATTTTCCCCCAAGAGTTTATACCCCAGGTTTTGAGATAAATGGTACTTACAATATTTTCCTGTAGCAGTGCCTTCTCTGCTTCATGGCGATCGTATTCTCCAACGTACCATTCACATTTGTTTAAATCCTTAATTTTAAGATATCGTAATCAGTGTATAGAAATTAACAACAGCTGGCAGAAGCAAAGCCAGTGAAAACAGATGGTATCTAATCTACATTTAAAGCACATTCAGCATAGTATATAAAAGTATATGCATATATCTATATATGTATATAGATATATAGTCCTGTTAGGAAATGTTAGTCAAATTAGACATTCAAATTCTTATCTATGGTTTCAAGAGCTCATATTGGATTGTTTTGAAGAGTGCTGAATAACCACAGCTTTCAGAGGGGGTGGGGGGTGGTGTCCTATAGTGTTAATCCTGTTTCCTAAAAACTTGTGTTTTTATGAAGCAAAGCTGATCTTTACCTCTTCAGTGGGTTGGGTAAGAAATTGCATTTCCTGTTCTGCAAGTGAATGTTTTGATTTATTTTTGCATACTGTATATGGTGTCGGAGATGGTGACCTCTTCACTGTCAAGTTCTCTACATTTAGCGTGGAACCTGTAAAAGTAAATTCAGAAGGAAAAGAGTTGTATTCTTTAAATTAAACTCATAGTTTCATTTTACACAATGTTTTACTGAGTAAGTCTGAGAATAGCACTTTTAGTTTAGAAATATTGTGATATTAACCTTTAAAATTCAGAGCTGTCAGTTGGGAGTGGTCTTGCGCTAATGCAACATCAGTGATTTCAGACTTTTCTGTGATGTCCCCAGAGATTTAAGACAGTTTCCTGATGGTTTTTAATTCACTTCAATCTGCCAGTGCACAATACCAGAATAATAAACTGTTAATAAAATAGCAAATGCTAAATAAAATACTGAATGTGAGACAAGGGTAATGGTTCATTCTGTTCTGTTTTCACCTTTTGAGCCTCCTTTATTTGCTTTGGGTCCCAGTTGCTGTTATGTTGGATCATATTCTATCCCCCCATTATCCATTGCCAGCCAGCATTGTTTCTGCCGAGCTGTTGAAACCTTGACGGATTCAGAGGTTCTGCCACGTTGACAAATTTCAGTCTGCTCTGTGACTTGTTTCAATTAACAAATTCAAGACCAAGGGGTGAGGTTGCTCTTGCATTAAGATGAAGGTGATGGTCTTTGGCTGTGTGCACCTGCTCCATAGTGGGCCACTGATGGAGAGGGCTTGCATAGCTCAAAAGCCTCCTTCCAGAGCAAATGTGATTTGCTGTCTGTAGACTTAGGGCTACTGTTTAACAGGCAGACACAGTTCCCCAAGTCTCTGGGGAGCTGTACAAGCACAGGGGATGGGGCTGGCACACAAAGCACGGGGTAATATGAGAGGCTTGGGTTAACTCTGATCAGGATGCAGCAGAAACAGCCTGAGGAAAGCAAGGGCTTCCTTTCAATTTGAAGATCAAATATAGTTTGCAGGTACGTGATACGGGGAAAAATTGTAAATGGAAGATGAAAAGAATCATATCCTGCTATACAACAGAAAACATTTTTGTTTGTTTCGTGCAGTGCTGGTGGGAGAAATGACCCAGTGTCTATTGTAAGAGTAAATGAGAAGAATGTGGCTTCCATCTTTTCCTTCTGGTTACTGTCACCTGAGACAGTATTGTTTGCCAGAGCAGTATTTCATTGTGCTTTATCTGTTCAAGCTTTATCAGTTTATTCTTCTGCTCATATGTAGCATATGATAGAATATTAAATTTTACTTGGAAGACTTTCTTTTACAGAGGAGTAATAGTTTTCACTGTATTTCACTGTTCCATTCGTACATGCGCTAAGTTGTGATTTATAATAGCATTATATTTGTTTTTAAAACAACATCCACTGATAGCAGTAGTCAATGATCTTCAGGAGGCAATCAGTCTATTCAGCAATTAAATCACTGATCAAAATAAACAGTGGGACTAGACATCAACCTTTTGTTTTTGTAATCAGTTTGAGTTGTCAAAATGTGAAATATTGTTACTGTTCAACTGATTGCATCATGATTTTTACATTTTTGTTTGTATTGTATTTTTAGTGGCTATCCCCAGTTTTGTGACCTGTGCTGTGTATGTTTTAAAGATTTTTTTCTTTTTCTGCTGCATCTTAGGCTGTGGGACAAGACATGTAGAATTCTGCTGTAATGCTCATGTACTGAGTTTGGCTGGCATGGAGCTAACAACAGCTTGTGAAGAAATTGTAGAAGAATGTTTTAGATTTTTGCACAGAAAATAATTTGGTTTTAATAATAAAAGCTAAAACTTCCAGAGAGAGAAATATAAAATCATTTAGCTTGGGAAAAGACCTTTAAGGTCATCAAGTCCAACCATGAGCCTAACACTCATGTTCTTATATAGGAGGAAAAAAAGGATATTAGTATAAGTTTAATAAAATTAAGTCTTGAAATATTTTTTAATACAAATATGGACATAAAAGACAATTGTAGGATACCAGAGGGAAAGGCTACTTTTACTCTCCCTGTTGCTTCAGGAGGGCAAGGCATTGACAGAGGGAAAAAGATACTGTGCTGTTGCAGAGAGCTCCCAAAGAGCCCTGGTAGTGATGGTAGGAAATGTCTGAAGTGGCAGCAGCAAACAGAGATCTAAATGAGCTTTGTGAATTATGTAAAGAATGACTTTTAGTAAGTATCCAGAGGAGAATGTGTGCGATTGCACCCACAGCACAAGAAGGAAGCAGCTCAGTGGAGGGAGCCCACCAGAACCTGGGAGCTGGGACCTGTGAAACAGAGCTGGGGAGGTGGGCTTGTTTAGCCTGGCAGTGACCAAAGTTAAGTTGAATTCTACTTGATCTGAACAAATAATATAGTCCATATGTTCTTCCTGATGGTATTTGCTTTTACCATAAGTTCACATTATGCAGTTCATAGGTTCCTGGCACAGCTTAGAGGTTTGCTTTTTTGATAGAAAATGGTGTTTGCAGAGGCAGTTACAGGAGAGTTAAAGTATGCTATGTTATCAAGGACAGCAGGAAGTCACCAGCGTGGATGATTCTTATAGTTCCTCAGTACTGAAAGCCCCTGGGTCTTCCAAGTCATGAACTGTATTTTTGAGGAATGGAGATACAACATGAGCTAACTTGGCTGAATGACATTCAAAAAATCAGAAAGACCAAGGTCATGTTATTTCTAGGTATTCCATGTAAGGTACAGATACACCTCTTTACTAACCAATCTGTTTGTGAAAGATAAATATATGGAATTTCCTTTATAGCATTTTTTATGCTGTTCTGCAAAAAGAAATAATATTTACAAAACAGAATAGGTGTTTTCTTGTGCTTTCACAAATTCATAATCAAATTTGCCTTGCTCTTCAAAAGTATGTAAGTACATGCTGAGTTGTTTCTTTTTGTCTCTTTTGGGTTTATGAAAGTACTTTTTAAAGCAGGTGTAGGTATATTAAAAGGTAGGGATGAGCCACATAGCAATTTTGGGTTAAATACTAATGAGACCATCTTTTCCTAAAATTAGGTAGGGGGATTAGTGAATAACAGATACAATATGATATGACAGCAAAAAACTAACACAAGTGTTTGTAGAAGTATTGTCTTCAAGGTTAGAGAGATTTTGCTAATGAATCCAGTGAAACTAGTCTTGTGTGCTGGATTCACTTCTGACAGTCTTAAGAAGTCCGGGGAAAATGAGCAGAGAGACATGGCCTTGGTTCCTGGGGAAGTCATACCACAGGCAGTTTCTTGGCAGAGCACCCCAGCAATCAGTGTTAATGTTGGCTTCCAGTATGTTCCCTTAGGTAAAGCCACAGAGTCCAGGGGAAGTCCTGTTTCCAACCATAATTATTTGATAGACCTGCCTGATAATGGCACTTACTTGTCCTTACCTTTAGGAATCTGGGATAAATCTAAAGCAATTTCTTCAAAGAGTGGTTTATTTGTTTACACAAAAGCATTTACCCCATAGTAGCTGCTCTATGATGTCCCAAACATCTCTAGCTTCCATTTAGCCCAGCTGATTGCATCTCTGCCTGGAAAAGCAGAGAAGGTTGTGTTCACAGCATGCCCTTTCTCTGTGCTCCCAAGCAATTTGCACTTTCTTCCTCTCTCCATTGTCCTCCAAATCCCTCTCCTGTTCTGGGTGTGGGGGTCTGCACTGGTTTAACACTTACAGTGTAGGTTGGGCATTTCTTTGCTTGAACCAGGCAGAGGGTAATAGCAAGTAACTGCTTGTTTCTGCACTGCTGTTGACTGTGCCATTGTTTTATTTGTTGTCCGCTTCCTTTATTTAATAATCCCTTTGCACTAACTCAGTGCTTTGAAAATCCTCAGTGCAGATATACATGCATAGCAACCAAAATCTGTTTCTTAATCTTATTTCTCCACATTTAGTTTGGTTTTCAAAGCCATCACTGGTTCTTACCTGAGCTGCAATTGGTTTTAGGGCTCCATGTACGTTGAGGGCTAGGAAAAAGCATTGAATGAAGGCATCATCAGAAAACCATTTTTTTTAGTGGCAGTGTAAGAGTCAAATTAGAGGGCAATGCTGAGCTGTACTTCCCCAGAATACCCCTTCCTCTACTCATGTCAGCTTCGGACCTTCACAGGTTTTGGGTGGTAATTTTGTATTTAGTGTCTTTTGATAGATTTTGCATAATTTCACCAGCCACTTTTTGAAGTTATATACATTTTTTTTACTCTCCAGAAGTATTTGGTAAGAGTTCCACATTTTAACTGCATGTGTAGTAAAGCACAATTTGCTTTTGTTCCCTGCTAATTTCACCTGATGTTTCCAGTCCCTCTACAGGAAGACCCAGGGAACTGTTGTTCCCTGCCTGTTCTGATTTTCTAGGCCTCTGCTGAGTGCGCAGCTGGTATTTTGTTGTGCTATTAATTGGAACAGTTACACTGGGAAGAGCATCGACCAAATAACTTCATGTAACGGAGCCACTGGTACCACACCAGAAGAAACAGAATACTGAGGGTGACAAATACTGTCGCATTTACTCCAGACAATAATTTTATCTTGGAAAATGCTATCATTGTAAACAAGGCTAGATATGAGATTCTGTATTTGTCTAGGGAAGATGTCAAATCATTCATACACTTCCTATGCTGTCAGCTATGCCTTTGGTTTGTTGTTGAGTATTTTAGGAGAATATAGATTTAAAAACACATTTAGAAAAGAGATTTGTGTGGGTTATAAAAGAAAAATAGGACTAACTGTGGCAAATTTCTATGGAAGAATAATTGGCCTTTGAAAGGCCAGGTATGTATCCTTTGTAAATAAAAATAGAAAATGAGTAGGAGAGAAAATTCTGAGGCTGGAGATAGCAGAGCTTCTTTATACAGTATATTTAACACCCTATCACAGAAATAGCAACAGAAATGTAATACAGCAGCATGCTATTAAAGATAAAAATTGGCTGTGCAATTACAATAGCTTGAAAGCAATTCCTAAAGATGGTTCTTGTCATGCATCAAGGCAAAATATAATATACCACTGCATGGCATCAGAAAGTGATATCATCTTGCTGTTATTGCATAGTGAGGCATAATTTTCTAGGGCAGAATATTTAGTCCTTGAACCCTCTAGTACAAACCATGAAATTCTTATATTCCTACCTGGCTTCAGGATGATGCTGTTGTGCTTGAAAAGATACTTCAGGTTTCTTCCCCAAATTTGTAACTATTAATAAAAACGATAAGAACTTATTATTTCCTCTTAAGTGTAACTGACAGTATCTAGCAACTACTGTGAAATAAATTAACTACATTCATAAATGAGGGTGAAGCAGTTCAATAGAAAAACTGAAAAGGCTGCAATCAGCCTGGCTTGAATGAATCAGCTAATGATTTGGGTGGGAAACATTTATCCTAGTAGTGAGTGTTACATGGGGAACATTACACGGTTTGCTGATGCCAACTATGGCTGAACATAATAGTAAATAATGTAGAATGCTGAACTAGAGGTATGTGGAGGGTTCATAAATCCTTTTTATAGAACAGAATAGGCATTGAATTTATTAATGCAGTCAATACTATTTCTTGCTGAAAATCAGGAAACAGTGCCTTAATCCACAAAAGGAAATGCCAGAGGAAATGATGAACTCATTAACACGAACTGCAAACAGCATAAAAGTCACGTAACCTGTATCTACCTTCTGAGTATTTTGGAGTAATGTTTTTCATGGACCTTCATGCACGCATACATAAACACACATGCACACATGGACCTTCACAAACACAGATAAACAGCTTAAGCTGTTTAATAAAAAACCCTTTCTTTCAAAATTCTCACCCTCAAATTATGGGAGAGCAGCAAGATAGAGAAGAGTGATGTCCTCTGTGTAGATCTCTTTTGGATATTCTTCTCTTGGTTTTTTAGGCTCCAACACACTTATTTTTCCCAAAACCTTAAGGTATTTTCTTCAAACAAATGTGATACCCTGGTTCCCCACATAGCTGTAGCTAAGTCCAAGTTCCTTTTTTCTGCTGCATTTTCCACAACTGTTGAGGTCTCTCTAAATCTCTCTGTTCCCAGCAGATCTTGCTTCAGTTGGAATTTTAATGATAGACTATTTCAGTTTTGGAATATGAAAGAAAGACATCAAATTATTATTATATATTAAATACTGACCTTGCTCTCTTCCAGGTGCCTATATGAAATGATAACATAGTAAATATTTTTCTTTGGATTAGTGACTTTAATTTACCCCAATAGACCCAACTATATTTCAATTTTAAAGCAATTTATAGACATTCAGTCATTAATACCGGATCACTTTGTCAAAAACCCAGGCTGAATGCTTATGTCAGTTCACTGATGACAATGAGAACTTAATTTTTTAGAGGTGTAAGTGAAAATATTTATTGCAGTGATCACCAATTCATGATGACTATTGTACATCAGTTTAACTTACAATATGGTTTTCCTTCCTTGATCTTAATTGACTGGAGAGACACTATCCAAAGAGTAGAATCAGTAATTTCTTTTCAGACTCTGACTGTACAGTACAGACAGTACAATTATTTTTACTGTCATGGCAGATACTTCATTCAAAATCACTGTGTGGTGAGTCTTAATCCGTCATATTATTTAACATATAAGTGAATGATACACAGGTTTCTAAAGACCAGAGTTTGACTCATAAACTTTCACTCTATTTCTATATTATTTTGATTCACATGGGAATAGTAATTATTTTGTTTGTTAATTTGATACATGTAAGACTATAAAACATAAATATTTAAGAGAAGAATTGTTGACTCTGTAGATGTTGCACTTTGAGCCTTCCATATAAGTTGCTTTCCCAATAATGTTTACCCATTACTTAGGAATTCAGCTCTAGCCCAAGCTTCTGCTTAAAGCGTGGTAAACTGTGACATGAGACCTGTGGTCTCAGACCTTTGGCCAGCTGGGTATTGCAAACCTCCCAGAACATATGGTGATTTCACAGCCTCTCTGGGAAACCTGTACCAATACCCTCATATTTAATTTTTCTTGTTTCTGGTTGAAACCATCATTTCAAGATCATTGCCTCTTGTACTTGCATTGTGCATTCTGCAAAGTGCCATGCTCTACCTTCTTTATAATCATCTCTTCAGCAACTGGCTTGTTGCTGTTGGGTTCCCCGAGAGCTGCCCCCTCTCTAGGTGAAGGGAGGCCAGCCCCATCAACCTCATTTCACAGGGCAGGTGCTGCATTGGTGACCCTCTGCTGACCCTCTCCTCTCTGTCAGCTTCAGCCTTGTGCAGTACTCCAGCTGTTGTCTAGGGAGTGATGAGTAAAAGGGAATAGTCCCTTCCCTTGATCTCTTGTCTATGTTTCTGTTGATACAGCTTGATGTGTTGTTGGCCTTTGTGGCCACTAAGGACCTGCCAGTGGCTCATGCTCAGCCTTTGGTCCCCAGGTCCTTCTGAGCAGAGCTGTTTCCTAGGGGTTTATTTCATTCTGGGGCAGGATTTTGCATTTGTCCTTTCCAATTTCAAGAGGCTCCTCTGGACCCTTTTTTCCTGTAGACTGGAGTTCTGGTGAAGGGCACTCCTTCTCTCAGACCTATTGACCTGCTGTTCAGTGTCTGAAATCCTGATACAGGCCCGCTCTTCTCCTCCTGCATGTTGCATCAAAACTATTTAAATGTTCAGATCTATATGAATGGGAAATGATTAATATTTTATCTTTTCCATGCCAGGAGACACACAGTATTTTTCCTTTAAGAAGCAGCCAACCTAAGAGCCTGTTAAGAGCTGCAGTATTTGTGCAGCTGTACAGTGCCTAGACAGAAATGTTAATTAGAGGTGTAGAATATTTATTGTACTTGTGAGTGTTTTCATATTTGTAGTGAGTCAGTATCTAGGACAAGACAAAGCTTTTTGTTTCAAAATAGTATCTTTCTTGACAATAGATTAAAGTGTTAATTACAATATTTTTATCAAACCATGTTTTTGTAACTATCTTTCAAACTAAAGGAATTTCTGACCATGAGAGGAGTGAGGTTTGGGGCAGCCTCCAGGTCAGAACTGTGGAGAAGAAAAACTTAACGGATTTGAAAGTTAGAGCTAGACCAGTCTATAGATCTGTGCTACAGTCTACTGTGGTAGGAAACAGTTGGACTTAACTAGTATAGAGATTCCTTTCTTCTGTTTCTTTACAATGAGAAAAAAAATCAAAACCAATTCAGTAGGAACATGTTAGTGCAGTAAATAAAACACTCAGTAAGAAGCACAAGATGCCATAAATTATAACCTCTCTCTGAATTTTACAATCAATCTTCAACACTGCATAATTATAGGGACTGTATCTCTTAATAAGTTTTAAGGAAAACCACTTGTCATAACTAAACTCCCTTATTGCTAAACCCATTTCCTCTGCTTCACTTCCTTAGTCTGAGTAGAAAGTGAAGGAACTTGTTAAAATCTTTTTTACAGAGACAGGGATCTGAAAAAAGTAATAAAAAAAAAATCACTTGCCTTTACTAGTCTCTGTGTAAAAGTTACTGCTTTCTGCTTTATAGATGCCTATAACTGCACTCCCAGCATCGCCTCTTTGCTTCTACCCCCTAGACAGAGCCAACTGGTGCGGGGGTCACTGGAGGTGGGAGCATGTGCTGGGAGATAAGGGGTCAGCTGGATGGAAAAGGGGTCAGCTTGGAGGTGTAGAGAGGCAGGGAAGAGCCTTTCTAGCTTGTCAGAGAGGGGAACTCTGAGCCGCTGCTTCAGGAGTGCACTCACTGGGAGCAGAAATGCCTCCCTGGTGCCTGGAACCTGGCAGTGGAGCTTGGCCCTAGGGAAGGAGTGGGGGAGGAGAGGGAAAATGGAGCTGAGGGATAACAGGCATTGTTAAATCTGGATATAAAATTTGTCTCTTTTTGTTTCTCTTATTGAAAAGGGTCATCCTATTTTTGAGGTATTTATTTTACATTAGTGCTATTGCACTCCTCTAATGACCTTATAATTTCAGTCTTCTGCTTTTAAAAATCTGTGTGGAATCTATGTTTGGCTGAAGGAGAATGTCCCTCCTACTGCTCACTGTTCATAGGCATCCACAGCCTCTGGCAGTTATGAGAGATGCAACACACGTTAAAGATAGACATTTTATGATTCAAAGCTAATATAATTCTACTAGTTCTTTTACATAACATACTATTACAAGAGAGGCTGTGTAGCCATGGAATGGTTTTTATGGTCCTGATATATACAAAGATGAATACTTACTTCATTTAGTTCTTTAACAGATAAATGTCTGGGAAAAAAAGAATAATATGCAAAAAATTTAATTATAATAAAATAAATTATCATAAAATAAAAATCACTTTGAGTACTTAAATACTTTGATTACATTATCACTGAAAACTAACAACCCTTACCAAGGCAAGGGAAGGATTTTGTTGCTGCTATAGAAGTTCAGAGGCTGGTTATTTTTTTACATAAATTATTTGCAGGAGAAGGTTTTGGAGGAAGGGAATAAGAGAGAGAAATATCAGCTTTCTTAACACTCTTCATCTCATGCCAAAAGGTCTTATTACACACTTTAGAGTCAGCTATAAATGGAGGTAAGTTCCTTGAAGACTGAAGAGTTTCAAAAATGAAACACAGAGGCAGAATGGAAAGTGTAGAAGGAAGGAGGTGAAAACCAGGGGAAGAGAAATGGAGAATGTTCTTCATGGTCCTGAATCAAGTAATTGTTTAGGTATTTTTCTGCCTTCTCCTGATGTGGCTGATCAACAGGAGTATCATCCTTTCTTGGGAAGGAAATATTCTCCTTCCAAAAATGGACAAGTATTGATTCTGACATCTTTTGTTAGATGTTTTGGTTATGGTGAACACTCATGCTTTTTAACATCACGTATCTCATAATAAAAGAGACAGAGGACTAGATTTTACGAGTTATTTAGCAACATAAGAGGTGGATAAGCATCTAGTAGTTTTTGAAAAGCCCTGGGATTTAGGCCCTATTTAGCCTATCTCCTGAACTGAGAAAATATGACAGTGAGTTATTCTGCTAAATCAATCAGAGGGAACACAGAAGGAAGATCTGGTAAAGAAAACCGTGAGAGCTATTTTTCAACTGTGAAAAGGGGTCTCTTCATCATGTCTGTGCAGAAAATATCAGTCAGTATGGAGGGATAGAGAGGCAAGAAGTTTGGGAATGATCTGTTCAGGCAAAGTTTCAGGAAGGCTAGGGGAAAGGAGAGGAACTGTTTTGCATTTGGATAGTTGCTTTTATGTTAGCTTCTGCAATTTGTTAGCTTGGTCTCCAGGGCCATTATTCATGTGTGAAAGCCCATATTCAGGGCACTGGGTGCATGGTAAAGTTTAGTAGTATTAAAGGTGTGTTTGCAGGGCTGGCCCCTGCCTTGAACAGACATGCCACTTGCATGGCCTGCTTACCACAGGCATGTAAAAGTTTAAATCACACCAAAGCTTCTAGGTACATTCCAGGATCCTGCACATACCTATTTTTTAATGAAGCTATTTATAGCGTGTATAAATAATGATGTGTTAAATTTTAGAAGTCCTCCAAATCTTGTTGAAAAACAGAACTTGCACTCCCAAATCACATCTGTGGTTTGACAGCTTTGCTTACAGCCTGGTAGATACCGGCTGTAGCATTGAACTCCTTCACACTGCAGCTCATGTGTATGTTTTCTCCTTACAAAGGTGTAACTGGACTGAAGTTGGTGGACAAATATTTTGAGTGAAGTGATCGTGCAGGAAATTTGTCAACTGCCTTCCCCAGATCATGTGTGGTCTTATGCTGTGCCACTCCTTTCTTACTCATATGATTAAAACCCCTACTACAATAGACATGACATGTATTTATATTACAGAATTTGGCTTTATAATAGGACCTTTCAAATCCAAGTGCTCTGCATACTGATGTCTGCTGACAACATAGGTTATAACATTTCTCACAAAGCTTTCGATCTGTGTGCTGCTTTACCGAGGGGGGGATCAGTCATGGGATTTGGAACTTTGCAGCTCCATGTCAGATCTTGCATTGAATATGAAGCTACTTCACGTTAATAAAATGTCTCAGCAACCAACAGCTTTTGGAACCTAATCAATGAAAAAACTTAGGCACCATTCGGGAAAAAACCCACTCCAAGAACGATACTTAGAGCTCACTCATTAAGTACATGCTTAACTTAAAGCAAAAGACTATTTCCTTGGTTTGTAAGCTTATTTTCCCTCCAAGGGATTTGTAGTCACCTCTGTAAAATGAAGCAAAATTCTATCCTGATGAAATAAAATTGAAATCATTTAAGGAAGGATGGACAGGATTGACACAGCTTCTGGCTGCAATAGGTTTTTGTCAGGATTCATTTGAGCATTATACCCTGTGGACCCTGGAATTGTGTCATTCCTCTTCCCACCACGTGTCTGAGCACCATCGCCTGTTAAGAACGTGCATTTTGGTCATGGTGCAAGACCACATACACACCTGGTTACATGACAGTGAGCAGCGTATGTACGCGCTCATCCGACCAGGTACAAGTTGTGTGAAAAGAGCAACCAGACTCATAACCTGACATATGCATATGCTTGGTCATACAGCTGGACACAAGCAGCTTGTTCTTCAGGACTTGGCAGAACTCATCGTCTCTGCCACGTCAGGATCCTGAATGACCATGGGCATTGTATGACAGGAGTGCAAGACACAGAGGGCAAGAAATGAATCATAGTCTGAATTTGTTGGCTTCATGGGCTGAAGCCAGATTTTGCCTACAGAGAAGTAATTTGTTTTGCTGAATGTCACATCCTTGGGAAGTGGAACGTATTCCTATATCTCTGATGTAGTCAGTGTATTTCCCCATCTCTTGATTCACCAACTGTGCTAAATAAGTAGAATTTTTCTGCTTAAAAGTGGTTGCAAGACCTGTAAATGTTATTAAGAAAGAATAGGACAAACCTTAAACAAAGTATTCTTGAAAGTTCTGCCTACTTTTCTACCCCTTCTTTACTGTTATTTTGTCAGTTTCTTTCTTAAAAAAATGCCAGTGTCACATTACACTAAATACCACTTCTCTCAATTATTCACAGCTGTCTAAAGAATAATTTCTTAAGTAAAAGCAGAGGTGCAATGGAAGTAAAGTCTTGCGGTTTGACCAGGGAGAGTGTTTTGAATCTTAGGGAGCGAGGATGAGGAATGCACCGTACCTTGAGACTTTTGCTGATATTGGAAAGGTGGGAGCTTGGCTGAGCGTGTTCCTCTTGTGAAAGAACTGGCTGCTTATCCTTGGCTCTGGAGGAAGTGGCTGATACTGCTTTGGCAGTGTGTTTGGAGGTCTAGAGAAGTCAAAGGAGAATTTGAAGAACTATTATGGAATAGAGGAGGTGGAGGGACTGCGTTGTAAGTGCAAGCTCTAGAAGTAAGAGACTAGAATTTTCTGAGAGCATTTCAGTGTATTTTGCTGTGCCAAGCTCAGATCCAGGAGCTCCTTAGGGCCCTTCAATAGCAATAGTAATATTGGATAATATTCTGCATTTGCAAGACATTACTGTACTGTGTTATGTGCCATTTAATACCGCTTTTGTGTGCCTCATCAGCATGTGCCAATCACATACAGCTTTCCAGTGTGGCTATTTCTGGGTGGGTAGGCCTGTGTATATGGTCTAGCCAGGGAACACACTGCAGCTTCAGACAGAGAGGACAAAATGCTCTTCATCCCATAAAACTCACAGGTAACATGGGTCTAGTGTTTTCTGCTGGATGAGGGCACACACTGCCCATGCTCTGAGACCAGGCAGTCACAGCCCAACTCTGGCTGGAAGCTGTAGCACAAAGAGACTGGCTGGATAAAACTGGAGGTGCATCCATGGTGCCTGTCAGAACTGCCCTTCAGTTGTGGGCTCCTGGGGAGGGACTGGCCACCATAATACAAAAAGAAATAAACAGTGAAATTTTGTAGAATAATGGATTGAGAATGTTCTTATTTTTTGACTTTTATAATTTTGAGTTTATGAAGCTACACTACCCTTTTATGCTATTTCACATTTTTAAAGTAAAATCTGAACATGTAGTGCTAATCATATTTTAAAATTCTTTATACATTTTGGGGCAGTCAGTGTAGGCATGGAGGAATAAGCTTGTAAGTCCTAGATGACCTTTTGGAAGGATATTTTAATTGTAGCAGTTATTTTTTGAAGTTGAAAAGATCAGGAAGCAATTAATTTTTTCTTTGTGGGCATATCATAGTAAAATATATTTGTGGAATAGAGCTTGGTCCACCTTCTGTGGGAGTAAGTGGAAATATTCCAGTTGATTTCTATGGATGTGATTTAGATTTGCAGCAAAAAATATTGGCAGAATGATTTAAGAGGGAATGAAGTCAATATTATCACAGTGAACAGAACCCAAGGCACCAATCAAATTGATGGAAGATTTTTTTTCCCCAGCAATTTATATGTCGGTTGAACCAGATTGAAGATTTCTAGGTTTTTGACTTGTCTGTAGGCAGAGCCAAATTGATTATGAAAATGCAGGCCTGAGATCCTCCTTACAAACACTTACAGCTCATGTTTTGTTCTCCCTAATTTCACATCAGAACCTGTAAGAGTCCAAAAAGTACCAGGCAGTAAAAGAATGCTGGCTCACTTCCAGTCACCTAATTATCATGGGCAGTACCCTTGGCACCGAGTTCCCCAGGGACCGCAGGTAGGAAATCTCTTATGTGATCTTACCGTGGGGGAGGCACAGGTTCCTGGAAAAGAGGAAACAAAAATCCCTGTAAACTTTTTTCCTTGGTTGACTAGAGAGAAATGTGAAGAAGTTAGATTAAGTAGACATGCCCGTGTCAAGAGTCAAGGGGTTTGTGTGCTCTACAGCACAAAATATCATGCTTTAGCATACCATTTTAAAATCACTGAGGAATAAAAGACATTTACATAAACCCTGAATACAAGTGAGTGAGATAATGTAGGATGGCAGATTTGAGTTCTCTTATCCACTAGTTACTGCCAGCAAAATGGCAGCCTGCTTTTAAAAATCTATTAAATGGCAAAATGACCTATAAAAATTTTAATCGATGAGAGATTCTGCTTACCTGGTCTCCCTGTATTTTCATTCTTCCTCCTAAAAATAATTATTAATAATTGTTAGTAGGGCGCTACTCACATAATTCACAAATTAAGTTTTAGCTTTATTCTGTTATTGTTATTATTACTAGCAGTCCAGTCCCATTCCTTGCACTCCCCCAGCTCTACCTCTAGAACTCTTTGCTCTGGCTTTCAGAATGAAATATTTATTCAGGTATTGTAAATTTAATTATTGTTTAATTATTGTTCAGAGACTTTATATGCTTATCAGATTTGGGATGCATAAATATTCTCCTAAGTTTTACTTGCTGAAATCCTAACTAATGTAAAGGAGATGCAATATATCTCAAGCTCTCCTTTAAGGAAACCATAACGATTTGGTCTAACTAAAATAATGGTACCTTAAGTGTTTAACAATTCTAGAAAATACTGACAAAAATTCTTCTGTGCTGTTTATGCCATCTTGTGGCAAGGCCTCTTAATAGCACTGGGCATGAGAATAAACATTAAGATGTATTTATTAACAGTGTAGTCATTATCTAAAAATAATAGCGTCCTCTATAAGCACTATCGCTCAGGATGTATTGAAAATACTTATAAGTTGCATTCTCAAACTACAGAGTTTGATTTGTGTGCCTGCACTGGCTTTGGTTCATCTTCACATCAGCACACATCACATGGAGGCAGACAAGCATGTAAATCCTGGTGGAATTCAAAGCTTTAGATAAACTGGCAAACTGTCCTTGTTTACTGATTTCTGCAGATTTTGAAGCTGGCTTACTGGCATTTATCTTATTTCAGATGTTTTTTAATCTACATCAAGATTTGCACACAAGAGTCAATCTAATCTTTAATTTTCAAACTTTGTAGTGTTTACTTTCTCATAATCTGTAGGAATTATTTGGATCTATGTTTTGCATTATAGTATGAAATAGAAGGGAAAAAAAAGCAAATTCTGTTTTATATGGAAATCTTTGAGTTATTTTTCTGGCTGATCAATTGCAATACTTACTTTCTAAAAATCAGCTGTTGAAGCAAACACAGAAAGGATCATATTTTCTTGGCGTGGCAGTTGCAGTCCTTTTGACAATATTTAGCTTATGGCTCAAAGGTTTGAAAATGGTAAGAGAAAAAAATATTTCTTTTCAAAGCTAATCAGATATTTAATCCTTCAGTGGTTGACTTCATGATGTACTGCTACATCAAAGTATATGAAATATAAAAAAGTGTATAGAAACTACTTTAAAAATAATGTTATGATTGGGTAAAACCATCAATTAGAGTATTTAATATTTGGACACTTTAGTAGACTCTTGAAGAATAAGATAGCAATCTGCCTCTGATTTCAGCACAAGAAACAAAACAGGACAAACAAAAATTAAAGGTACATTTGATTTTGAAGAAAATTTGCAGTTAAAGGTAAAGCAGCAGAGAAAAAATATGTTCTAGGTGATGTGGCACACAATTAACATATTCTTAGTAGGTGAACACTGTCAGACAGCCTTTGTAAATAACTACCCTAGGATGTAAACCTAGTAGGAATTGCTAAAGTTGATATTGCTATTTGAAAATTGTTATTAGGTTATCCTTTACAATATATTCATATGAAATGTCTGAGAAACATAGGGAATGAAAAAACTTGAGATCATGAGAAGGTGAAGTAAAGCTTAGCAGGGATTTTGCAGCCTTTGGTGGAAGAATTCGGGAGACATAGGCTTTCCCCGGTCCCCTTATGTCCTTATAATACAGGAAAAGGAAAATCTGATTTTTAAATTGATTGGCTGCTTTTTCCTACCCCTTGAGGAACAGGGAGCTCCTGAGATAAAACATATCTCCTTCTGTAAATAATTATTTTGATGTTAGATAGTTGAAACAGTATTGCAAAATTTACAGTATGATTATTTGGAAAAGCAGCTGCTGTTCTGAAAACCCTGTCTATTCTATCATCTGCAGTCTCTTCCTGTGTACAAAAGATAAATATGGAAGTAACAATTTCTATTTCTATTTGCAGAAATGGGTAGATTTTTTTATTTTACCTCTAACACTTGGCACTCTCTGCCCCTCCGGAACAGATGTGTGAATCTGTTAATAAAACAAAATAAAGATGTGTTGTTAGTCATCATCTTGAAACTCTGTCTAGTAGAGGGGTTGCTGCTCCTGACTGGGATGCCTCTAATACTTTAGAGGATCCCTGCAGCCAACAAGTGAAGTCAGTGGTGAAGGCATCAGTGCAAAGTGAAACAGAAATGGCTCACAGGAATGTGTGTGCCCTTGTATGAGTGAATTTTATATGGCTAAGACTTTAAATAGACTGTACTTAACTTTAGAGAATATTAAAGAAGAGGGGAAATCTGTTTGTGAATAAGGTTTAGTATCTATACTTACAGTTGAGTATTGAGGGGGGTGAGATGGGTTCTCGCTCATTGGGGAAGTGGAACCTGAAGGCCTTAAACAACGTTTATCTGTAAAAGAGGAAGAAAAATCAAGCCTGAGTAATTCAGTACTATGAGGTTTTAAGATGAAGAGGTTTAATGTTCAAAATATGCTTTTCAGATCAGGTCTTGCCATTTTTATAACATTTTAAATTTTCCTTTTCAAAATGTAAATGTCATTTTAGCAGCTGTATTAGGACATAAGCATGACCCTCATAAGAGCTTCATGCTTAACCTCCTCACTGTGGTTAAAAAAAAAGCCTTCATAAGGCAGTACACAGTTAAGGCAGACATTTAACCTTAACTGTGATTAGATTACTGAATTTGTTTTTCATTTGAATCTTTGTTCTTGGCAACGCTGTTATTTTGTTCGGATTTTGTGAGGGTTGTAGGGGTTTTACTCTCTAGAGAGCTTTTTAAGTTTCTCTTTAGCTTTTAATAAATACTAGATCCCTGGCTGTCTAAACGAAATGCACAGGTTGTATGCTAGCATGTGTTTTTTAGTCGTTAATTTTATATCTCAAGGGCACTGGTATTTATCTAGGAAAGATGGCAAAAATGTTAGCACTGAGTTTTACCCTTTTGAAATATATTTTCAGACCTTTCCTCACTCTTTTATCTTGCCACATTATAGTTACTGGGCACAACATACAGGAAAAAAGCAGCTTTTTATTTAATGTGTATTTGAATTCACAAAACAAAAATTACATTTTTTGGGTATTTCAGGACAGTCTTACATAAACAACATAAGATGTTGACTGCTGACTGAAAGTTTTTACTACTAACTAAGACAAAAACAGTATTTGGAATTCAGATTTCCAAATAAAATGAGCAAATTAGTCTTTGGAACATAATATAGGATACCTGGATGTTCAGACTGATTGTGATCTGCTCACACACTGGTAAATTTACTCACTTTAAAAGCCATCTATTTGTTTAGACATCAAACAAACTCCCACAAAGAATCAGTAGATAAATCTTTGCTGACTTTGATGTGAACTGGAGCAAGCTTTCATAATATATTGATCCTGTATTTTCAGATATCTTTGGTTTGTGTTTTCTATTCTTCCTCATGTAGGATTTCCCTCTAGTTTTTTAATGATTTAAAACCTCCAGAGATTGTTTGTAATGGCTTTGAGCAATGGATAGCTATGATGATATTTCACATCCATAAACAGAATATTAATTGGCTCTGTATGTCAGGGCATTTAAATTTGTTTGGGCATTTTAGTAAACCAAAAGGGGATTAATGAAACTATCTTACAAGGTTAAGAATGCCTGAGAAATACACACAAAGCAATTGCTTATTACAGTTACTGAAAGCAGCAGAGAACACCTTTAAAAGGGTACATTTCTTCATCTGCAAATTATCATCTGGAGGGAAGTTTCATGTGTTCTTTAATATGTTTTCCATCTTAAAAATTTCTAGGCTTAAATAGCAGTGAGCTTTTCTGAAACAGTTGTGAGTTTTATCAGTCAGGTTTTTTGCACGTTCAAGGTGGAATGGGATAATAGAGTTTCTCCCATAAGGGTAATATTAAAATTAAAAAAAAAAGTGTGTAATTATTAATTTAACATAATCTAATGGAAATAAGGGTAACTTTTGAATTTGAAGATGCAGACAAAACTCTTCTCTATTTCTGCCTACCAGTGTTATATTTGAGTTGAACCATTTCATTCTAAAAGATATCCACACTGAAAACCCTTAGTCTGTAGTGCTCCTGTATATGTCTAGGCTTTTCTCACTTTCCACAGACAGAAGTTACCTGCATATTCAGATTCTTGTAGAGGTTTGGCAGGAAGAATTCTTAAAGTATGGATGGCCTGCAGAGTGGAAGAACTTATGGTCTCGTAATCATCCTCTTCCTCGGATAACTTGGGGGAAGACTGTAAGTCAACCCTTCCCTTCATTGTCAAATATTTGCTCTGGACAGAAGAAGAGATATACAGATAATATAATTAAGGTCAAGATTAATTTCAGATTTGGAAATATCTGATTACCATAACTAGATGTTTTGGTACACAGGAAATTTTCTGATGGAAATTGAAGGGTTGTAAAGTAGTTGAGCAAGTGCTTTGAGTACCTAAATTTTTTTAATTTAGATTGATAAAATAGCCATTTGGGAGGCAGTTTAGATGTCTCTCTGAATTTTGCCTGTCTGATCTTGAAAATATAATGATAGTGTTTAATTTTATGATAATTTGAAACTGTGTCTTCCATTATAGTAATATCCATGTGGTATTTTTATTGTACTGACTGTTTACATATGTTACTTGCAAGAATATATTAACTAGCTCATCACAAATGTGACACTTAAAAATAAAAACATGCAGTGTTTTGGGGAATTTGTGCTAGCAAATGTGCGGTCAAAGTGAATGCGATAGCAAGTATGTATTGAAGAGTGAAATCCATAGAATATGACGCTGAGAGTGACTCAGGATGTCCCTGCATGTGTCTATACACTTGAACTAGGTTTGTCCAAGATTATTTTCTGGAATCCTGCTCTACCCTTCATACTCACTGTTTACATGCTGGAACACAATTACTGGCTTCCTTCAGCGCAGAGCTGAGACTGCTGCCAAGTGAACTCAGCTGAGGGTACCCTGAGTCTTTATAAGTCGTATTTTGCTACCATCAATATAGGTACATCATGCACTTGGATCTTCCCTGATGGTTTTTTAATTCTCTTCTTGAACTTACTAACAATGGGGAATCAATAGCTTCCTGAGATGTCTTCTTCTGCTAGTTAGCTGCTCTTTCAGTTCATGCTTTTTCTCTTGAGTGCTAAAATTTAAACCAGTTTGTTTTACCCTCAAAGAACACTAAAAAAAAATTGATTACTATCCATTTTATTTCAATCTTTTTCATGCTAATGCCTATAATTATATTTCCTTTTAGTCTTCTCACTAAGCAAATATGCTTCTTGAAACCTTTCCTGAGTTGTCAACCAATTTAAGAGATTTTGAACCTCATCAGGAAAGTGTTACTTTCCTGATTGTACACATCTCTCTCCAGCTTGTACACATCTTTGTTACAACATCAGTCAGACCTCCAAGAAGTGTTCTTGACAGTACATTGCAGGATTTTTGTAGCAGCACATAAAAAATACCACCACACCCTTGAGAGACCCCTGCAGGGTATCTGGCTTTTCAGGCACTTCTCTGCACAACTCTCTAGTTCAGTAGCAGACTACTGTCGGCTAGGCTGAGGGTGACTATTTTTTTCAATCAATTGTGCAAACACTTCATGCGTTTTCATCTAGACCAGGTTTCCAGGTATCTACTTGTGAGACTGTCTTCTGGGAAATGTCAGAGACCTGACAAAAACCAAGATATATCACATCTACTATTTTCTTTCTCGCTACTGTGGTCATATTTCTGCTGAGAAGGAAATTACTTTTGGTTTGAGGAGTTGATGAGATGTTCTTCATGTTCACATTAGCAATTATTTTACATGATCAGACCTATTATTTCCAAAAGATGCTTTCAGATTGACTTTGTTTAATAGTCTCTACAGGCTTTCTCATAAGAAATTGATGTTACCACTGTTCTTTTTCAGTACTTTAGGAACTCAGGACTCCTTGGAGAGTTCCCAAAGATAATCAATTAATGTCTCATAAATTTCTTCAAATAATTCCTTAACTGCCTTAGCATAAGTAAATATTCTCCTGACTGTTCTTTCCCTGTTCTGCTCTGTGCTATTACTCCCTTCTGTTTGATATTAATTCCATATACCATCTTATTATTATTAATCTTTCAGTGAGATCTAAAGCAGTCAAAGTATTGATTCCATCAACCTTCTTTAGTCAACGTTTACTTGTCCATCTTGCTTATTAAGCATAGACCTGTGCTTTATTTTCGTCTTTCTGTGATTTAAAAGGTGTTTACACTCTTATACGTCTGAACTGAAGCTCAAAACGAGCTTTCAGATAAGAATGGGAAGACATTGAAGTGTGTACTGTGACTTTTAGGCTTTCATCTGCATCAGTTACATATTAAACCTTGAAGTTTATGACTTATATACTTGTTCAACTTCACTCCTGTTATTTTCACATGATCTTATGTAAAGGTGTATTTTAGATTCAGCCCAAAAATGGAGAACTGACTAGTGAGTGAGTCACTTCTCCAATCTAGCTCATACATATGTCAAAATACTCATGCTTTATTTTGCATTAGCAAACAGTGACAATTGCATTTTCCATTACTAGCATTATAGCCAAGACAAGATTAACACATGCCAGGAAATGTTTTACAATTACAATTACAAAAGTAAAATTTTAGGAAGAACAGTGTGGTACTTACAGAATGATAGGTGTTATCAGGAATAGTTCTTCTGGTTTCTGTATGAAATGGAGAAGAACTGTCAGCAGGTCTCATTCTGTAGAAAATGATACACTAACTAATAATTTATCTAACAGAATAAAAATCTGCCAACTGCACAGTATTTTAGAGATACTGAAACAAAGGAGATTAAGCAAATCCACCCGTGAGTTTGTTGACCTATACAATGCTTGAGGAAGTAGCTGTGTGGAAATGAAATTCACAACCATAAGCACGCCTAAGCCTGCCTACCAGGAACACCCAAAAAAGGATGTGCTTGAACTCCTCTCTTTCTCCTGAGTTTTGCTACTTGGTGCAGAACTGTGAGAGCTCACCATGGTGAGATTGGGGATCCTGATCTGGAAATCCCTTTGTGAATACAAATGTGTGTTGTTCCCTTAGCAGCAGAAGAAAACCCCAAAACTGAGAACACTCCAGCTATCAGGCTATAAACTCTTGTCAGTGGTGTCCGTCTGCCCACAAAGTTGTCTCATGTTACAGCCAGGAGAGCACAAGGGCCAAAGAGCTGGCGAACAGGAGAGTGAATTCACTTCAGAAGAGACTCCCAAGTTCTGCACTTAACCTGATTTACACATTTAATCCAGTGACTATTTAATGCAAAACAGCCATGATATGACCTTGCCCGGTACTTGCTCTTGTTTTGGACTGTTGCAATCCTTTCTTACACTACCTGTAACCTCACAAATCTTGCATCTGTGGCTACATAATAGCTTGATTTCAAAAGTAGAACATGAAAGTCTTTCTATTAAGACTAATCAATAACATATAATTAAAATATGCTCTAATACTTAGGAAAAAGGGAGAATTGCACACTGAAAGGCTTTTGTGTCAAGGAGAGAGTTAAACCCAAATCTACTTCTTGTCCAGGGGTTGTACCTAGGTGCTGAAGTGTACTAAGGACAGGCAGTATCCCACAACCCTCCCTTACAACTGCTTCTGCCTGAACACCCTTTTCACATTTGTTGCTCTTGTTCTGTAAGCCTGGTATTGCATATTTCTGTATACCCCAGCAGATGGCATTGAATGTTCATTTATTTAATATATGCAGTACTTTAATCTCTGCTCGGAGGATCATTCATGAAGGACAGGGAAGGAGATTTATCCATACAAGCTAGTTGTCTGATTTTCTGTTTAGTTATGCTGGTGCAAATCAGAAGTAAGCCCAGTTAAATCAATGGCATTGCCGAGGAACACAGTGGTAACTAGGTGGTACTAGGATAATAACAAAAAAGACAGACAGTGTCTTAAATTGTAGCCTTTCTACTTCTATTAAAAAAAACCATGGTTGTTTTATTCTCAACAATAAAAAACTAATAACAGTGATAAACATCAATGCCATTATCCACTCATTTCATGGCTTAATGCTGAAGGGGGACTGTTTGACCCAAGGCTTTGGGTTGATTTATTGCTATTCAATACCAGTTTACAATTTGACGCCCAAGTTAGTTTATAATCTATTCTGTTGTGAATGAATCAGTGGCGTTTGGAGGAACTCCAGCCCTCCTTCTCCTTTTCTTCTTACTCCTCCTTTGCACAGGGCCAGTGAAGGCAGCAGCACTGCTGCTGCTTTCCTGTGGGTGTGCCTTTTACATAAGGTGTATGCCCAAATATTTACTCCATGCTATCTGAAGAGTGCAAACCAGCTAGAAACCACTCCTCCTGATATTTAAGAATGTCATTTTGGAAGTGAAGATGAATATCTCACTCTCTCCGCCCTGCTGTACATAACAGGCTTTCTACTGTCCAGGCAGTAGAAGAGGTACTGTCGCAGAGGCTCACCATCTAGGGGGAGACTATTTCTGCTGTCTACTATATATATATATCACTCTGGAACATCCAATTTATTATAGTATCACAGAATAGTTAGAGTTGGAAGGTACCTTTAAAGGTTATCTAGTCCAACCCATCTGCAATGAGCAGGGACATCTTCAAATTTTCTCACTTCTGATGCACTGGCTGTTGTAAAGGGATGAAAGAGGACAGAATCTTTGTTGCAAGTAGTTGCAATCACCTGGACCTTCTGGCATAATTTTTTTTTTTCAATGCAATCTAAAGACTTAGAGCTGGCATGGGTTAGAGTCTCCTCAAGCTATAGGAACTGATCATATTTTATTCCCTCTGAAAATTTTTTGTTGCTTTGCTACATTTTGTGTGAAACTAATAAATAGAGAATATAAATTATAACAATAGGAAGGTGTTACATTGCTATGGCGTATGTGTGGGTGTGTTTCTTCCAGTTGACAGAGAATGCCTGATGTCAAAGGAAAAATGGAAAAAATTAACTTCTCTTTAGTTTGCAAGGGAATAAAACAATGTGTGCATTTTGTGGCAACCTTGCTTGCTTTTCATAGAGATGTAAAAAAATTCTGTTTAAAAGGGTGACAGGTTAGCAATTTATACAGGAAACAAAACCTCAGAAACAAAACCCTTCTTTAAATGAGAAAGCAAAAGGTAAATCTGTTCCCATGGGTTTCTGTGAGTCTATGAATGCACAGTGGTTTTTTAGTCACTGTGGTGTCTCAGGCAGTGTTGGGAAGCGATAAAGTATTGTCGCTTGTGTTTTAATATATACTGTTATCCTGACAGAGTGTCTCCTAATCACTTCAGTAGAAAAAAATCTGAAGCTGGAAATGCTGCAAAGAACTGCATAGGCATTTTCAGAGTCAATTTTTACTGTCTGGTCCAAAAGTATGGTGCAAAACCTTGTCCTGCTCGAGTATATAGGCATCTTATAATTCATCCTAATGTTTATAATAGTACAATGTTCATGTCTGCCACACCTTGTATGTAACAAACTATTACTGGCTCTGAGTAATAAGTATGCTAGATGGACATGCTATAGTACATCCTTTTTCATCGCTGAAAGAATTTTACCTTTCAGATGTATATCTGGATTCATTGCTTCACATATGTTTGGGCTAGATCTAAATACATAAACAAAGAAAAAAACCATCAACTTCATTAAACATTAGGAATTGCCATTGTTCTATAAAAGTGCTCAAATATTTCAACTTAAATGAATGAATGGAAGCTGCAAGGATAAGAACTGCAGTTGAGAAATGACTGGACAAATTTGGAAATTCAACAATTTTGGGTCAAACCTTATATTTTTGTTCCCTTTCAGCTCCAAGTTTGGTGCAGTTACAGAAAGTGCTACTCATTTTACAAACATTCATTTCAGACGTAAATGTTGTAACAGCCTTATTGATACTTTAGTATATTCAGTGTGATGTTGAAGGGATGAGTTTCCATAGGGAGATAGGAGCTAAATCTCTCTTTTTGCATGCAGCTGTGCCACTGCACATGGCTCCCTTCCAATTCTACCAGCCAGCAAAATAAGTGTAACATTTTCCCTAGTCCTGATGAGGTATTCTTCCATCCTGCTATTACTCTGCCACAGAGAATATAGGAGATATGTTGGGTGTGAAAGAACAATATAAATAGATCTTGACCTTAGGCCTTACTCTGGTGTTGGTTGTCTCACAGTGACCCTCTTTACCCACTTAGCTCTGTATCAACCTGTCCAGTAACATTTGTGGATCATTGCAGTAGAAGTATTTAGTATTCAGAAACAACACCAAGAGTTGTTTTGCAATGAAGATGTGGCCAGGGATCACATTAAGATTGCATTAATGCACACTTGTTTTATCTATAACTAAGCATCCACCCTTGGAATTGCCCAAAGTTTTGGAAATACCAGCACAACCATCTGAGTTTCAACTAGCCCACTCTACAATTACAAAATAATTTAGGTTAGCAGCAACTTTTAAACACAGAGTGAAGCTGAGTGGTTTCCTGTTCAGTGAGCAGGGCTGTAGACCACACGAGTGTACTAGAGTAGAGTGTGCAATTATAGCATGGACACATCAATCATAAAACTTTTACTTATGTTACTTACCAGTGCTTAAAAAAGGTAATTTATTTACTTACTTAATTTTTGGCAAAGCTCTCTTCCCGCTGTTTGTATCTGCTGGGCTGTGTACTACTGTTTTCCTGTTGGCTCTGCCAGAATTGGACAAAGTTTACTGTTAGTGAGTGGCAGTAAGTGGGGAAGAAATGCAAGCGCAAGCAGAGCTGATAAAGTAATTTTCAAAACTGGGAAATGTATATATGTAAATGTTTCTCTTCCTCTCTTCCTCAAACATTTTCAATCTACGAATATTTTCCTGACTTTTTTGTTTTCAGCCATTTGGAAAAAAGAACAACTGTTTCCTGCTGGGAGAATGAAAAGCTGGAAACTGAATTCCTGCATCCAGTGTTTTGGTTACTTTAGAATAGGGTACTTATTCATTTCAACTGAATAGGAATTAAAACCCAGGGAAACCTACCCAAGATCTTTATTGCTACTGAAGTAGTTGCTAAACACCAGTGATGTAGCTTACAAAGCAACAGAGCTCAGTTCTCTTGGCCTCTCTACTTCTGACTACTCTTGAGCCCCTGTTAGAAACAGAACTCCATATTTCACTCATGTGAAATAATGCTGATCTGTAATTCCTCAAAATAAAAACTGAGATGATTTAAACTTTTACCATTTGACTAGCAGAGACTTCAGTGTTTGCACCAGAAGAGTTAGTAATACCTCACTGAATAATTCCTACAGATTGAAAAGATGGTCATGTCCTTTTGAACACAGTCTTGCCCAAATTCATTTATATTCGTAGATCCTATAATCAGTGTTGCCAAATCAGGTTTCAGGTTTTTTTTTTATAAACATGCCCCCCCAACCTATTTAACAGAATAAATGAACAAAGAAACAAACACCAACACCTCCCCCCCACCCTTTAATAAATATTTAAATGTGCACATTGCTAATTAATTTTTCTGTCAGTATGGAAATACTAAAGGGCACAAATGCAAAGATGCAAATTTTAGAAGAATGGCAAAGTATGATTTTATTTTCAGCTGTGGATTTAGCAGGAGAGGTATGCTTGAGTAGTTGCTACAGCTATAGAGAATTTTGGTTAAATG